TCTTCATCTTGAACACAATTTTATTAATACCAGGAACCTTTCACCATATACTTTTTCATGTGTACGATCATATTGCAGTGTGATTCTGAAACCTCAGAATGTTAAATAAAATATTTTGTAGTACAAAGCTATTTTTATATGTAAATAACACGGTTACGCTATTTGTTCTTCATCTGCAATTAATATGTCATAAAAAGCATCTGAATATTACTGTTGCTTAATAATAGTAATATTAATGGCAATCAAGTATGGAGTATGAGTATGAAAGTATGTGGTATGAATGTCTCCAAGAAAGTGTTAACATGCTACAGATAAAATGCTATATTCTAATATACATATAATATGTTTTAAGGAAGAACAATAAAGCTGGAATTTATTGAATTTCCAATTTTAGAGTTGGTTTAATCAAGACCGTTTTCAATACAATGAATTATAATATTTCACATCTTTTGAAATATGCAATTACACCATTATCCAAATACATCATATCCAAAATATGTCAAAATTAAGATGCCATGGCAGTAAAAAATAAAAGTTCTGTAATATGAAGACTGTTCATCAGAACTACATTTTAAGAATACTGGCTTATTTTTTTGTACCATTGCAAAATGCATTCATCCTAGCTATGCAATATCCTAGAGATCATCCAAGAATTCTTAGGGAAAAAAAACTGTATTTCAGATATTGCAATATGCTCTGATACTTGAGAAAACTAGTAAGGACCGTTTGGAATCCCAAAGCTACATATATCCTCAACTTGCTATATGATTAGGTGGATGTACCAAAGGCTACTTTCTCTCGTAACTCTACATTTAAGTGAACTTGTAAATACCTTTTATAGGCAGAGTAAAGTAATGTGAGGCTTCCTTATATAACATCAATATGGTATTTATAGGCAAACCTGGGAAGAATATCTAAGCATTTGGGAACAATTACAAGTCTCCTGAAGGCTTTCCTAGCAATAAATTCAACAAAGAAGGCTATGAAGAAATCACATATTTAGATTTTCTGGTGGGAAAGATATGAAATTAGGTAAAAAGACAACATTAGTTCTGAAAGATGTCAAGGCTCCAAAAACAAAGAAGGAAGTTAATTTTCTCATCGAGGAGATAAAACAAACAATATTGGTTATTGGTTATATTATGTATATTATATTACATATTAAATTTATTTTATCTATCTTACTGTAAACTGCCTAGAGTCACATATGTGAAATGCATGGCTATATAAATCAAATAAATAAATAGTGAAGTTGACATCAGAATGTCACTTGACAGAAGCTTTGTCCAAGGGCTTATCCTAAGAGGGCCAGAGTACGAAAAGGCTTCCATCAATAAATTATGCTTGTGACATAGAACTCAGTATAGACTCATGGGGATGGAAATGATGCAGTGGTATATTTAGCCAAGAAACTATTCTTAGAAGAAGCTAACTACAGCACCATTGAAAAGAAAGAGATGGTCTTGATGCTTAAAGTATAATTATGAGACTGAGAGTTTAAAATCATAATGGATAACCAACCCATTGCCTAGATACAGTGGACGAAAAAAAGTAATCCTTCAATGACAATTATATGTCTTTGCAAACCTACATATTCACCGTACAACAGAGAGCAAGGATAGAAATCATTCTTTATCTCATCAGGGATATGATATAGAAATGTTTAGTGAACTGATCTGGCAGGAATTTAAAGAAAGGATCTCATCTTTTAAAAGCAGGAAAGGATGTGGAACTTCCCAGATTGAGCAGGCATTTCTCCTTCCCTTCTGGAATCCAGAAAGGGAAAGGGGGATAAAAGAGCCCTACCTTCTCCTTAATTAGAGGGATGGCCTCTTAAATGGACCAGAAATCCAGCATATGTGTGGGTACAGCAGAGGGGGAGTTGAACCAGGAAGACTACAGAGAGGCAGGGAAAAGTTTTCTGTTCAAAGGCAAGTAACTCAGCAGCAGTCCGGAATGATAAAAGCCTTGGCGCTCTAAAACCCACTGAGAGACAGAGCCAAAAGTTCAAGGGAAAGAGCCCAACTAACGTCTGCAAAGAAGTGACTGGAGCAAAGCCGTTCTGTGCAGCAGTCCAAGCCTTACAAACCAGCTCCAGGAAGAGAAGATTGTGAATGCTGGGGAGGAGAGAAAAGCCTCATATGCAAATCAACAGCGAAAGCATGAAAGGGATTTTCAAGTGTAAATGGTTAGAGTTTGGCTACAAGAGATGAAGATTCCCCACTCAAAGAGTTAGGAGATACTCTTTATAGAAAAATGTAGAGCTAAAGAACATAGAGATTAGAATACAGACATGGAGTATTTGGAGTAAGCTTATAGTAATGGGAAGGTGCTAGATTAAGATAGGTTGTAAGAAATTAAGTAGGAAATAGGTTTAAACATAGAATTTATCTGAGACTGCCTGAGAGAGATTCTCATGTACTAAATATTGGACAACAATGTTGGACCACCTTCCCTAACATTATGGGAAGGTGGCAATAGAGGAAATGTTTTCTCATTGGGAAGCTATGCAACTCAATTATTTTCATTCCCTTATTTACAAGAGTGACATAATTTTTTTCAACAGTTAAAAGAAGCTTTATATTCTAAAACAGATGCTAGCAATGCTAGTGACATTCTATGGAAAGCTTCAACTTTTCCAAAAACCACTAACAACTATTTATTAAAGCAGTATGCCATAATAAGTCAAAGCATTCCATCTGAAATTACATAAATTTTCCCTGCACTTGTTAAAAAACTAAAAATTATAGTTCAGACAAGTGATGGGGAATATTCCTAAGCATAAGTTTATCTGCAAAATGTAGTCAGTATATTCATAGAACTGTAGTACACTTATATGGGCTGTATACTTTTCATTACTATACAAATCAAGTTGAAATTTTGATGGCTTTTTAGAAGTATTAAACATTGTGGGCTTCTTGGAAGCAACTGACTTGTTGCTGCCATAAATTAGCTACTGAATTAGATGAATATTTGGTTTTTTTTAATGTTTAATCCACAGGAAGCTTTTCTTTAAATGTTTTGTATTAAGAGTCAGTATATCAAAGACCAGTGTGCTATCCTGATCTACAGTTTAATTACCCATGTTTGTTTGTGTCTGTTATTGGCATATACAGATCATATCTTGTTATTCATGGAAAAGGATTCTGCATATCCTCAGTTCATTTTTGTGTGTGTGGTTTGGAAGATTTTTGGAGTGTTCTGCATAGTACATATACACAAAATGAGACATAGGTTTTTGCACATGTGTAAAGAACATTAGTTTGAGTTCTCATTATTTGCAAACATATTATTGAAGTTGTTAGCCTGGACCTAAAACCTTCTGAACAAGAGAAACAAAATACATTACAAATAGTGAAAGATTAAAAAAAACAGAACTGAAATTAATACCATAACTATGCAACATAACAATGTCCCATTGAATAAAAGAAACTAGGCTGAACTAAAGCCAAAGCAAATGCTAAGAGACTATGGCATGTATTAAAGCTTTTGGCCTCTTTCTATTGGCTTTCAAATTATAATAAATTTACAAACAATTGAAAAAAATGTTTTGTAGAGTGTTTACACAGAAGCATGCCTTAATAAATGGAATGCTAATATAATTTGAGGGTTTAAAGAAAAGGAAGGAAAATACTAAAGAGTTTCTTACCTATAATTACAAAAGCTATTGCTAGTTTTGTACAAAGACAAGTTGGCTTAATGCTATTGATGAAGGCAGGGCTGAGCACTGGCTCTTCAGGTTCCTTATTTGCTTGAAGGCAGCTTTGACATATAGATTGTTTACATTACAGATCCCTCAAAAAGCAGTTCTTTTCATAAAAAAATCAGTTTGATAAATCAAGACACGTGTATTTAATAGGTCTTCCCAAATTTTCTAAAGCATATATTTTAATCTAGTATTGATGTTCTGACATTAGAAAAATTACATTTATCTTAAATTGCATATCTTTAGAATCAAGATTCTTGTAGTTGTCCCAAAGATAAGCTGGTTGATACTTACAAAGGAGATAAACCGGAAATAACAGAGTACAATTTAGATTAAGAAGTTGAAAAGGTATCTTAAAAGAGGATAATGGCAATTTATTTCCATATTCTTGCAAGAAATGTCAAGAGTACCTAGAAAATTATCACGATGTAAACATGACTTGAGAGAGAGTTAATCTCTAAATTATTCTAACTTAATCTTATAGAAGCAAACATAGATTTTACTGTGATGTTCTTTCTTCATAAGTCTCTTGAACCCTGCTTCATATGTGAAATTTAAATATCTGGATTAAAGTTATTTAAAAACATATTTTAGATATTTCTTCTCAATTTACTAATTTAATGGATAATTTCCCAAGTACAACATTTTAATCCTTTCTAAGATATATATTTTAATTTACCAGTCCTTTATTTAATTGTGCATTACGAAATCCGGAATAAAAAGATGAAGGATAACTATCTTATGATCTGCAGTTACTCAAAAAAATCATATTGCATTTTTTAGACAGATCAACATTCTTGAACATCTCTACCTGGACTAAAGTGTTTCAATGTATTTTCAGAGAACAATTCCTCACTGCCTTCTTGGATTGTTTCTCAGCTTCTACAGCCTTGGATTAGCTGGTGGTTGCCCTCCAAGTACTAACTACATCTGATCCTGCTTAGCTTTTAGGGATCATCCAAGGTCAACTAGGAATTGCCACTAACTAGTCACTTAAGCAGTATCACTTTTAGGATTAAGCTGTTAGATTGCTTTGGATAGACAGCATATTTCAAAATGCTATACAAGAAAATGTATGCTATATTTTGTTTCACAAGGTGTGTACTTGTACAACAGACTTCAGTAAACCATCCAGGGTTTGCACTGGCTTCCTGCCATCCATTATTAAGGTTCAAATTTAACCACATCTTGTGCTTAGACGTCTAGAGTTAGCTAGAAGTTTTGGCTCAGATACAGGCAGTGATGAAAAACACATGAGCAGTAACAAGTTTTCTTAGTGTTATTCTTCAGTGCTCAGATAGACTAATCTACAGAAGGAGTTTATTCAAGTATTACTCAGGGTGCCAGGAAGAAAAAGACATTTGAAGTGATTTTTAACCCCTTTAAAAATACTTACTGTTAATTTTATAAACTCAATCTTTTATAAATTATCAAGGTGGAAATAATTTTCTTAGCTGGAGCATTTTTAAGGGACTTGACAAATTTGCAAGGTAGGTCTTTTTTTTTTTACTTTTTATTAATGCATCAGTGTTCTAATGAAGCAATATTCTTGTCAATAGTAATAATGTATTTAAATACTGTTCAACGTTTTATAGCATGCATTAGAAAACAGTGCATTTAGTTATTTATTAATTTAACTGCTTTTATACTATGAACAGAAAAATATATCATTTATTGATCTGTTTATTCAGAATTAAGTCCTACTGAATTAAAGAGAACTTTCTGTCAAGCAAGTAAATCACAGACTATTTAGCTATATTTTCAGCCATTCATAATCTCCCCATCCTTTAGTTTCCTAAAGGATGAAAGAGAATGGAGGTCTGTATAGAATTCTGTCAGTTTTATAAAAAAACAGAAAAGTAGAAGTGGAATGAACTTCCTATAATTAGCATTTAGAAAATAGCCATTAGGTGAGGAAATAATATGCATTAGAAATCATTGTGTGAATTTATTATTCTATTTGGACTGTTTGATTGGATCAAACAAAATATCAAACAAAGTATCTGATGAAAACCATTTAGGCTGTAATTCTATAACACTTACCTAGCAGTGCCATTTAACTCAAATTGGCTTATTTCTAAATAAACTAATGCTAGAAGAAATTCCTCATATTTCATGTATATTCAATGTAATTTGATTTTATACAATTCTATGTTCAGATTACTCAGGACATATAAATATGTGGCTTCACAAATATTAATGCTTTTAAAGTAAGGATATTTAAGTACTGGCAAAACTAGGCAGGAAAGCTTTTCTGTCTGTGCTCCATGCAGGTGAAGTCTTTAGCATTTCAAACTAAGCAGTCCAACTTTCTGATTGAATGTAATTAATAAAGTTAAGTAACATTATTTCTGGCCATATTGGCAGCCTGAATCAAAGCACTTTCTCTGACTTGCTTTGCAAAAACAAAATTTTCAGAAATTCCAGACACCCAGTTAATTTAAATGGAATACTTTTCTTATTATTGAGATTATTATTATTATATATTATTTAAATAAGAAATTATAACCAGGGCTTAGGTTAATATTATTCAAAATAACCAATGATTTCTTCAAAACAGGATTTTATTTCTTATAATCTTGGCAGCCATTAATATTTGAATGATCTGTTGGCTATAAAGGATTAACATACATGGCACAAGCAGAAAGCACATATTATTTTATAATACTGAATGTGCATTTTCAGACAATTTAATAATCCTTTTTTTAAAAGTTAAGCAACCTGCTGCCTTTCAGTGATTTGGAAGTTGAATGGCCACAGTCAAGCACAAGCCCTTAGATTAGACTAATTTACTCATGAGGAACCCATGCTTTGCCCTATATTCCTGCTAAGCATGGAGTCATGGACAAATCTGAGATGGTATTAAAGTTAAAATATTAGATGGATCTAATACAAATGAAAAGATTAATTATATTAATATAACAGTGTCTTCACTGATTTGGAAGAGAAAGGGATGGAAATGTGACTATGGGTCAGAGAGGGTGCCAAGGTAACAGAAACAGTTGTTTAAATTGAACTTGGGTCAGGCAACATATACCACAGCCGATGTGTCAGCCTTAAAACTGCGCTAACAGTTTTTGCTGTGGTTACGACCATGATATGACAGTCATCTCCCTTAACCAGTTAATTCTAAATAATGCAGTGTAGCAATGTTACACTGCATCCTTAGGAGGGCAGGGGAAAGACAGTTCATGAAAAAGTACTGAGAGTTTTAGAAGCTCACAGAATTCTTCCCCTCTCTGCTTTCATTTTACTGGCTCAGAAAAATTCAGGGCTTCATTAGATAATTTAATACTTCCAAACAACAATGCAATTCATTTCTTTTGTGAGGAGACTAGATGCAGTATTCTGTAAAAGGCATGAATGAAATGCTTAGATCCAGCCATTAAGCTGCTCTTTTAAACAGTCTTTTAAAATGCTATCAATATTTTAAGATATGTACACTAGAATATTTGAAAGTTATTGAGAATTTTATAAACATTAGGCATGTAGAGTTTCCCAAAATGCAGTTTTCTCTAAGAACTCATATCTGCCTTAATTAGGCTAAGCCAAATTATAGAGAACACAGAATTACATTGCTTATCAAGTTATAGAAAATTTAATATAATCTCTTTATGTTCCAAAACTCAAACCACTATTTTACTATTATGAAATATAAATAATCACATCTTAATTAATTCTCACTTTAAAGCTCATATTCAGATTATTGAGAAATTATATGCATTGGATCTTCATCTCTTATGACTTGGATGAAGTATTTTCTGTTCTCCATGATTTTATTTATCTGCATTTCTATATTGTCCACTAACTGAAACTCTCTAGTTTTATACAAAATATCCAAGTTACATGCATCTTAGATCCCTGAAGGAATTAGCTGATGGACTAAGTAGAACTTTAATCTATTAGCTTCTGATAAGTTCTGGAGAATGGCAAAATGCCAGAATTCCAAAATATTCCTGTTTTGGAAAAGTGGGGTGGGAGGTAGAAAAACTAAAAACAAATCAATCTAATAACTGATACTTAGAAAAAAATCTATGCTCACTTTATGAGAAGTTCATAAAGAGCATGCATTGAAAACTAAAACATGGATTATTATTTTTTGCTTGCTAACACCTCATTTCTGGATTTTTAACAAAATGTGGGAATGTTGCAGAAGCCCTTTCTCTTCTTTGCAAACTCTACCAGAAACAGGAAAGGAAACTGTAGCACTTTTTTTTTAGATTTAACTCCTTTCAATTAAGCTACATTGATATACAAATAAATAAATAATATCATAGAACTAACTATATTTTGCCATTGGTACCATTTAGACTAAACTATGTAAGCAGATGGTGTTCTAGAATTGCTGGAGTGAATGATTATAGTTTACAACTGGGACCCCATTCAATTATCTGTCAACTATGTGCTTCTTTATACCCAGAACCGACTGGATTCTGAGTGGGATAGGAAATTTTCCAGTTTGGTAGCCTCATTTCCCTTCCAAATTTCTACAATATTTCATTTCTAAAGGCTAATCTGTTCATTTTGGCAACACAGACTGAGTACTGTACTCTGCAACAATCAGATCCTTCATTTCAAAAGTTAACTTGCTAAGAGAATTCTAGGGTTCCATATAATTTGCAGAAATAAAACATTTTAGCCACTGTAGTTCTCAGGTAAAATCTCAACAGATGAATTAATATTTATATTTTAGACATTTATGTATGGCACTTCTTTTTAATATTTCTGAAACTAAAATATCAATAATGGTATTTTTTTTTTGTTTGGCACTCATTTTGTTTTAGGCGTGTGTATTCTACAAATATGAAGGAATATATACTTCTACTTCTTGTGGCCTTAAGTTCTGCTAAGCCTTTCCAAAAGCCTTCATATTTCACCTTTAAAAATATAATGCTCATGGATATGGAAGATCTGGATGATGATGATGATGATGATGATGATGATGTTGACGATGATGATGATAAAGATGACAATTCCCTTTTTCCTACCAGAGCACCCTTGATACCAGTTGACATATTTCCAGTATGTCCCTTTGGATGTCAGTGCTATTTAAGAGTTGTCCACTGTTCTGATTTAGGTAAGCTACACCTATGCAGTACATTAGTGATTAGTGATTCGTGAGTAGACATTTGAAATTAGTGAGTTTTCTTTAGCTTCCTGAGAAGAAACTCCAGAAACTCCAGAGATGCACTAATACTATTTCAATACCCACCTTAAGCTTTAAGGATTTCCCCATCAATTGATCTTGATTATGAGCAATAATTGGCCTATTGCCTTTACCAAAATGAACAACTTCCCCCTTTACTACAGAACGATCTGGAGTTCACAAAAATTTCAATTGTGTAACACTCCAGAAAGCTAGTGTTGATTATTTGACTGAATTGCTTCTTCGCCTCTGATGGAGTGCATTCTCTCTGGGAGAGCATATTGCTGATTTTCAGTTGTGAGTTCAAGATATGGACTGGAGTGAAAAAGAAACCTGACTGTCCAGTTTAAATGGGACAAACTCATCCATCACTTTACTGTATTAATGAAAGTCTGCTTGGGTATTGACAGATTATGGCAGAGTGAATCAGTGGTGGGATTCAAATTTTTTTTACTACCGGTTCTGTGGGCATGGCTTGGTAGGCTTGGCAGGGGAAGGATACTGTAAAATCTCCAATCAGAGGTGGTATTTGCCAGTTCTCCGAACTGCTCAAAATTTCCGCTACCAGTTCTCCAGAACTGGTCAGAACCTGCTGAATACCAAAAAAAAAAAGGCTCCACATAGTTTGGCAAAATTACAAAAGCAAGAATTATACAGAATTCAGTTAGGTATTTTTAATGTTTTAAATATAGACTGTGGGAAAATACGAGAGAAATTTTTCACTCATTGATAGGTAGTTAAGAAAGATTAGATCTCTTTGAATTATTCTTCCCAGGATTCTTCTCATTTGGCTTAAGTTGTCATTTATAAGATGTTGATGTTCGTCTTAACTTCTATCTCTTGAGTATGTCTGGTCTTCCATTCCTTTTTCAGCCTGGCCAAAATCTTTCATAGCACCAAGAAACATAAGCTCCATGTTTATATTATGGGAAATCTTCGCATGGAAGTTCTCCCTTTATGATAAAGTTAACTGTTATAGTTGGGAGTGTGTTATAAACAGATAACCCAAACGTTAATGTGAAATTATTCAGTCCCAACCATTGAGACTTCAGAGGCTGGAACACTCAGACCGTAAGACAAGAACATTTTACATTTTAGTTACTGCTGTTACTCTGCAAATCCAGACCAGGTCTGAGTAGAGCTGCAAGTCTATAACTTATATATTATAAGATTATATGAGGAATTTAATGTAACTGTCCACTGCATATGAATATAATGCTGCATATCAATTAGGTCATTCATTCTGCAAAGCCCCGTACAAACACTGAAACTATTTATGACCTGCACTTACACACAAGACCAATCAAAGAGTGCCATGACTCATATGCAACCATGAGAAATCTCTGAAACTTAACCTAGCTTCCTGTTACATTTCCCAAGAAATTAGGGTTGGGCAGATTGCAAGCTCACAAGCCACATATTCACTGAAACTGAGGAACCATAACAGCTGATTCTGTATGAAATTTTCCTAATGTGCAATACTACCAGCCTCTTGCTCTCACCATCAAGAACAGCAAGAACTCTTCCTGTATTGCCTGCCAAATATGCTGATTCTACTGATGTTGAATAGAAGCACAGACTCGCTCCCACTCCCCAATTTGATCAGACGTTGAATTTCCATAACACATCACTACCCCAAGTCAAAGGATGAATCTTGCTACTAAAGAGAGTTGCTTGATGAGTATTTGCAGAAAGACTTTACCTGCTTTGTTCCTTTTCATCAGTGCTCCTCTATTTGTTAAGGAAAGCCAGTGGTCCATGTTTATTGGCTCCTAAATTCTGTAGCTTATTAGGGATTGCCAACCTCTTCCCCTAATTTCTGATGATTTAGTGCATTTGCAGAAAGCTTGCATTGTTACTAAATTAAACCTTAGGTGCAATCTGACCAGAGCAATATATTGTAGAGGGGAATAGTAATTTTCATAAAGTTGACATTATATTGACCTATATTAATCTAGCCCAAAGTTACATTGGCTCTTTTGCAACTTTGCTTCTAGCTATACTGAAAACGTAGTTGTTTTAAGTTCAAAAGTGCTAGAAAATTTCTGGAAGTTTGACCCTGAAGACAAATCAGCCATCAGTGGGTACATAGAGATCAACAACATTTATACACCATTTAAAAGAGATAATCAAAAGCTAAAAAAGGAAACAGATCAAAACTCATCTTCACCAGCAATCAACACCAAGATAAACAGGAATTAGCACTAGGATTAATACCAAGTTAACAATCCAACAGTAAATAATACCTTAATCAAGGAACTATGGGTATAAACTCATATAAACAATTGTAAGCAACAGCCTAATCAAGGAACTACCAAGAACAATACTTTGACCAACATTGACAGAGCAAGCCATTATATATAATCAGAGCAAACCCCAGTCCCTTCTAGCACTGAAGATGTTACTATTTGGATATTGAAACATCTTTAAAAAACCATCTCAGAGCACCAAGGCTCCATAGTTTGACCATGATGTACACATATTCTCTTCTATTGGTATACTTGGTTTTCTACTTTTTCCTCCTGGTCCTGGACAAGTTCTCTTGTGCTTTGTTAAGTTCTGCTCTCACAACCCCATGTCAAAATGAGGAGGGGGGAGGAATTTGAGAGGGAGCATATTTGGAATTCTTGGAGCAAAAGGGGTGGATTCATGGAGAATCATATTCATTGGAAGGGATTAGAGAGATCCTGAAAAACAGTAGATAATGTCTATGCCCCTGCCTCTTTTGACCATTTGCCATGCTCACAAAGCCCAGATCACCTGTGTTCTGTCTTTAACTTTCTGGCTGAATATAAAGACAGTTAGATAAACTCTACAAAGGCTTCCATACAAAGTTTCTTTATTGGATTGTAATAGGCATCCTCAAGGTATGTTGAGATCCATCTAATGTCCAATATTTGCACAGTCGTCTTCATAGTGGGAAAATATGGTTATCTTCATTCCATAATGATATAATAAGGGATCCAGCACGCTGCTGGTTCCAGGCAAGGAAAGAACAAAGGCTTCCCCCAACCCAACTACAGGTCAATTCAGTGACCAATCAGGATTACAGATGTGACATGACATGAACTACATTTCCCATGAGGTATTCTCTTAAGGGGACAGCTCCCAATTCCCTATTAACTATATAGTGTCTGACCAGCACAACCTGATTGGGTTTGTACTCCATTTACTGCCTATGGATAAATCTAACACTGAAGGGGGTTGGTTTGGGAAAAGGAGGTGGCTTCAAAGAGCATTTGGGGATTTTTTCAATTCCCTGATGGGCACTTTTGTTCAGTCGCAGGAAGTAATACTATTACCTCTGAGCACCCTTTTTCTAGAATCCATTCATAGACAGCAATTTGGTTTATTAAAGTTAACTGGGAGGTGAAGTGCCTCCCTAGATACCTGGAAGATGCTGGAGGAAGTAAATCTAACTCAGCATGAATATGTACCTATGTTCAGGCCTACAATGTGGTGATATGAGAGGTGAAAAATATTTACCAGTACTTCTCTTGCAGACAATTATTGATATTAACTGGGGCATTGCTTGTCCTGTTATCTGGTACTTCATTTTGTTTGTGACCTTCAAGGAAATGGATAGGATTCTGCCTTAGTTGCCTTCTACCATCAGATGAACCCTTGCCTCTCTCAACTTCTATGAGAAGTAGATGGAGGAAGTGATGATTTGAGTCTAGGAAACTGTGAGAGCTTCTGGCAGCCTTGATGTGATTTGATGTACCCCAGGTATTTTTGGATGCAATGGTGTTAAAGAATTACTTTAACCTTTTAAAGGAAAGTTGATGGTGGGAAATACCCAGCCAGCAAGGTATTTCAAATGAGCAATTAGCCTTGAATCACTGCACAGCTGCAAGAATTCCAAGACTAACACTCCTACTCATCTCAAGCTCCATGAAATCTTATCTGTCTATTCCCAAGTGAAGTCAAGCAGTCTGGATAGATTTCTGTACTATAGGTAGAATTATAACAAACCAGTCAACTTGAACTCTTCATGTGTTGATCTATTGCTTGGGCTTGACAGTTGTTGAAATGGTTGGGATGAATCAACAATGATTCATCCCAACTAAAAAAAAAAGGATTGTTTTGAACCTTTTCGGTCTTCAGTCCAATCAGGGTTTAGGCCTAATTTTGGACCATAGGTACTATTGATCAATCTTCTAGATTACCTGTGTTGTGACTTGGACAGGGGAGGTATACCCATTCTGGTCTTATTAGACCCCAGCAGCTTTTGATACCATCAATCATGGTTCACTTTTGGATTGTTTTAACCATGATTCTACTCCTTCCTTAGTTGGTGGGAGAAGAGAGATCGGCCCAGTGGCCCCTGATTTATGGAACACCACAGAGTTTGTCTTGTATCTACTGTTTTTAACTTCTATATTAAGTTATTAGCAAAGTTGTATATTGTGGAAAAAAAGATTACTCAACAGTTTAGGGGTGGGTATCTTCAATATACTGATGATACTGAATTGTATTTTGCCATCTGACTTGTTATTATTAATTTTAACCAATATCTAGAGGCTGTCAAGTTCTGGATGAGAAAGAACAAACTAAAATTGAACCCTGCCAATTTGGAGTTGTGGTTGATCCATTAATGTCCTTTTGTTACAAGTACTACCTATCAGGAAGTAGGTTCACAACTTGGGGCTGCTTCTGATCTCCAGAGTGGTCTATGCTCTAATCACCACACATTTGGACAACTTTAATGCATTCTGCTTGTCACTGCATTTAAAGAGTATTCAGAAACTACAATTAGTAGCTGCCTCCTTTTGCAATTCCAGCATAGGGAACATATTACGGCATTTTTGGGATCCTGCATTGTTTGCCCTTTGGGTCCTATTTAAGATGCTGGAGTTGACTCATAAAGCCCTCTACAACTTAGCCTCTAAATACCTTCCGGACTGCCTACTGCTGTCAGTATCACCCCG